TGACCATTTTTAGAGAATCGTTGTGTTAAGCCAAAAGATCACCAGACTAAGGGAGCACTTTTATATCTACACATACCAGACAACTCAAAAGCAAAGAACCAGTTTTAAATCGGAGGGAGTTTGTCACTAGCATTCTGTCACAAATATACATCATTTGTTTGCATTTCTTTTGTTGAATCTATGAAAAAGTGCATAATGTGTTAGCCCTGCAACAGACAGGGCTAACACATCGTGTGCTTCATTTCACAGAAAGTCAGTTGTGTCTGCTGCAGTCAGTAACCAGGAACACTAGGAGCAGGAATGGGAATTAAGGCACTAAAGCAGAAAAATGAAGGTGCACTAGCAAGACTCGCAGTACTGTGAGTTGTGAAGTCCCAGAACCCCGACTAACTCTTTGCTACCTTTTTAAGCAGGTGGTGCAATTAACCAGGGCTTGACTGGCTTGACTGAATCATCACTGGGAAGTTTCCATCAGGCATCTCCACTGTGAACTATACCTCCACCCCTCCTCGGCAAACCTGCACCTTTACTTTATTTATTAGAGTTTTAACAATGTTCTCTTTAGATATTGTGTGTGTTTTAATTGTTGTTCAGTGCGTTGTGACTTTTATCTCTGTGGAAATAGCTATATAACTATATAAATAAACTTCACTTAACACCAAAGAACAATAAGTACACAAAAACAGGCTGAGAGCCACATGCAGCTCTGAGGCTTTAGCAGTAGAAATAACAGAAATGAACTTTTTCCATGGTAAACATTCCTACTCTTCTTAATGGACAAAGAGGGATGCTTTCCTGAAATCCAGCCCCTCTGTTGTAAAAATCTGTTTTAATGATTGCCCAAAATTAATTTAAGACTTTTATCTGAGCCACTTTTTAGTCATAATTTGGTAAGTTTCCAACATTACCAGCTCAACAGTCTTTTCTGCAGTGAACCAATAATCTTACACAATGTTTACTCAGGTTACTGCAATGGGGCCTCAGTCTTACATTTTTACTTTAGTATTGTATAATTTGCTGCTTCTTGCCCACAAGTTTTGTTTGTAAGCAGTCCTTAAATTTTGTCAACTCCAAAGACAAAAAAGAAATGTTTGCTCTAAAAATTTCCACTACATGACTCGTTAAAAGTGCTGTAGCTGATTTTTTCTTTATTATTATTTGATGTAGAATCGAGAAGTGACTCACTGTGTGTGACTGTGTTTTTCACAGACACACACAGCATGGCAAACACAAACTCTACATGTCAGAAAGGAAATAGCGTCTGGTATTTAAAATGCCGTATATTAAAAAGACAAGGTGATTTTATTACAAACAAGGTTATGGTAAATGCTTATTTTATAGGTGAGGAAGGCTTCAAACTTATAGATTTTATTAATACATTTTAAAAGCTTTCTTGCTAATTGTTTACTGTTCCAGTCTAGAGAAATCTGTGAAATATCAGTGCGAGGAATCACGTTTTACAGAATGGTAATGGAGACAGCCTCATTATACGTTTTTAGTTCAAACACTGAGTCTGGTGTTGTGTTATTTTTTTCATTTGGATAAATACACTGTGCCACATAAATGCCATAAATGATGGCAAAGTAGAGCAAGCACATGTGGCAGAGACTTTCTGTCCAATCAGACATATCTACCTGTGTGTCTTTCAGTTCCCTGTCGGCTGACTGGCTCCCTACAAGATGCTCTGCCCCCTGCTCTTCCTGTCTGCTCTTACTGCACTGGCAGGTAAGCACACACACCCAGCGGTCATTTTGAATGTTTCCCCACAGTACCTGAGTAGCAACAGTAAAACCAGAGAAGAACAAAGTGATGAGGAGTAATGAAGGAAGCTTTAAATGCTGTATGGAGTTACACGTTCTCTCATTAGATAAAAGCTTGTTTTGTATTCACATCAAAGAATTCTCATTTTTTGTTATCACATATTTCATAAAGTTCTGATTCTGTAGTCATTTGTTGTGAAAGTAATGGCATACCCTAAAGGGACATTTTTACCAATAAACATAATCGCATGTTACAAGATTGGGAATTCCAGCACTGTCATAACTGACTTCAAACCTGAACAGCTTTTGCAATCAGAATCATCTGAATACACTGGTATGCCTAATATATAAACACAGTTGTTCACATGAGGCCTGGGAGATTCAAGGTCACTTTAAATCATTCAACTGTAAATCTAGATTGGTATTGACCCTTTACCTTAATTTTAAAGTGTATATTTATTTCTTACTCTTCTTAAATTTACTGTTGACTTTTGGACCGGATGGAACTGGAGCCTCTATATACTGTATTGTTTATAGCAGTGATGACAATAAAGTTTATTTTGACTTTGAAAGTTGGAATATATTGAAATAAAAATGCCAATACAGACATGTAATGATTTTGCTCCAGGAAGTAGCACTAGGAAAAGTCAACAGGGAAGCAGCAATGGAGACATTATTCCATGTAAAATGCTTGGACTGTCTGAACAAATACTAGTAACAAGGTTCAGCAATGCATTATAGATTATGAAATTTGGGCACTGTTTTATTATACAAGACCATATGTACTGAAGGAGCTCTGTGGCTTTAGCTCCCCTTTAGCAGTGCTGAAGGAAGAATATGTGGAATTAAATTGGATTTTCCTTTCCTTTATATAAAGTGTAAGGAGAAAAACCTCAGGAAAGCAAAGAATCACGGGCCCAGAGTTAATTCATGTACATGGGCGAATCCTGTGCAGGAAAGCACGCCAGGCATTCACTCAGAGTTTATTATATACTGTCTTATCTTACATAACACTCATGGGTGGAGTACAAGTTAAGAAAAAAACAACTTCTTATCTGGTGATTGCATACGAGGCTGCACAGGATGCAGCCTTGCAAGACAAAGAGGAACAAGTTGATTAACGATCTTGTAATGGGTTGAAACAGTACATGTGGGTGTAGTTCCAGTTAAAGGATTGCAGGCACGCTATGTACAGGCATTACTGCGAAATTCAAATAAAGCTAAACATAAGCAATTATCACAGTTGAATAAAGATAATAAAGTAATATAATTCAAAATCTTTCAACATAAAGTTTACAATATCATTTTAGTACCAACAGATAACCAATAAGTCAAAGTATAAAGAAAATCAAAATGAAATGAATCACTGGAGAAATTGCAAACCATAAAGGTCCAAATGGATGCCCATCACCTCTCTACTGAAAACATAGATTTACCAATTACAGAAACTATGCAATAGCCTATTAAGCTTAATTGATTATTTAAACTGAGTATGTGGCATATATTCATTTCAGAGGATGAGACACATGGATGTGCAGCCATGATGTTCTCCCATCTGAGAACATCCCAGCTGAGCACGAACTGACCTTTCCCTGCAGGAGAATATCCAGCATGTAGCAACACTTTAAATCATAAATGATAATGTAATTGATTATTGAACAAACGCTGTTTAATCCATTCATGAAGTCAGTTTTTCAGCCTGCAGCTCTCCCTGTTTGTCCGACCAGCTAACAGACTGTAGCTCACAGCTCTCACGTGTCTCTGTGTCTTCAGGTGCTCAGTGGTCCTATCAGCAGACATTCAGTGAGTCTTCAGTGTTGAACATCAGGTCATGTGCCATCACATATTATGGACAGAAGTACGAGCAGCTCTATGTGAGTAGGATGAAGCCTGATGTTTTAGCAGATCTTTGTGTTTCCATCACTGTTGCTGTTTAGTCTCAACCTGTGGCAGAGATCATGTTTGCAGACTGAGTGAACATCAGCAGTTAATGAAGGTCACACACTCTCTGTTCACGGGTTCAGGCCCTCAGAGGGCAGCTGGCTTTAAGCTCAGAGTCTCATTAATGTCGTCTGCAGTGATGCTGAGTATGTGGACATCACCTGATGCAGCTTCCTGAAGCAGAGCGAGAGCTCTGACTGAAACCTGAGCAGCTCTGACACCAACAGTTCAGCTGTAAATGACTCAAAGCACAAAAGATGTTGATGTTTGACTCGTTGTGTCTCTGATTTTCCACAGGTGAACATAACATCTGGAAATGTTACCGTCTGTTTCAACGGCTTTTTCAGTCCTGAAACTGGAAGCGACTGTATTGTGGAGCATTCACGGGGCGCACAGCGATTTCAATTTCTTATAATTCAAGACAATTCACTTGAAAATGAAAATGAAAATTTGGCAACCATTCAGAACAGTTTAGAATGCACTGTTTTCATCCTTTTCCCCTCCAATGTGAGTGTTGTTGTATATCACACAGTTAGATGTGACTGGTGTCACTTTTCACTGTTTTACGTCTAATTAATTGTATAAACACTGCAAACCAAAAATTATCACATCAAATAAATTTTGTAAAAGCTTTTAGAGCAAACTTCCCGGCAATGCCTGAAACTTTTCTGTTTGCTCGTTACAGATCGTTATAAATTTGTATCTGGATAACTTCGGGACACAAGCAGCTCTGGGGGTTTCCACATCCAGCAGTGATCCTGTGGTGAGTCTGAGTGTTTATAAACAACTACACACATCTGTTATTGTTTAAATACTTGTGCTGTAGTCTCAGATTCAGGTGAATGTTGATGTTGTTGGATCTAAAATCAGAATTTTAGAGACGCTCAAACCTTTATACCCTCTTACATATATATAT